TCATGAAATAATATTTGGAACGGCTGAGGCTATCGGCACTGCCGCAGTGCGAAAAAAGGCTGCTGTTTTCTATCGGCACTGCCACAGTGCCAAAAAAGCTGTTATTTTCTATCGGCTTTGTTGCCGCAGTGCGAAAAAAGCTCCGATTTTCTATCGGCACTACCGCAGTGCCAAAACATTGCAGTTTTCTATCGGCACTGCCACTCGAAAAGCTGCTGTTTAATTATCAAATGGATGTTTTTATCTATAGATTATGGTATCAATAATTGGTTAGGTCTAGCCTAGCCTATAATATTGTTAACATTATAATATATGTGTTTTACAATTAAATTATAATTATTTATAATTATTAAATATATACATAGCCTATATCTAGGCCCATACATAAAACAAAAAATAAAACAACAAAAATTTAAAAATAAAATAGTAATAATAATAATAATAATAATAATAATAATAATAATAATAATATAATAACAGTGCTCGAAATGAATAAAAATTGTTCAATTAATGAGATGAATCAGCATATATTAAATCAAATTGCGTCTATGCAAAACCTTTTTTTTTTTTTTTAAAATAAAGTGTTATCTATTTTATTCTGCTGTTTTAAAAAATAATCTTATAAATTATAAGTTTATTTTCTATGATAATTTCATCCACATAATTCATGTTTTCAATGTTAGTATGGTTGATAAATAATACATAAAATAATAATAATAATAATAATAATATAATAATAATAATAATAATAATAATAATGAAGGTGCTCGAATAATGCTTTAATAAAGAATTAATAGTATTTCAATAATACTTCAATAGGCCTATTTGCGATAGTGTGAATAATGAGATATTTGTTGATTAATTTATAGAAATATATGATAGGTATAGGCCTATACCATTAATAATGATTCAGCATATTAAATCAACTTACGTCTATAGATGTAAAATCTGGTTTTTTTTCCAATAAAATTTTAACTATTTTATTCTGTTAAAAAAAATAATCTTATAAAATACCGTACATTATAAAGTTTCATTGTAAATTATATGAGAATTTAATCCACATAATTTATGTTTTCAATTATTTAAGCATTTGAACAATTCAGTGGGCCTAACGCTGGATGTAAATGTAAAACAAAACAAAAACAAAAGCATCGCCAAAGTGTTTTCATGTATGCAAATGCTAATACTATCGCGCGATTACCGCGTATTTTTGGCAAGCAGAGCTCAGGATGGTTCACATGAATTGACGAATATCCGTCGAAATGCCGTATAAATAAACTGCAATTATGTAAGTAACTTTCACGAGAAATTTACGAATATCTTAATTAATATTTTAAATTAGTTAATTACTAATTAATTAATAGATTGATATAAACATTGTGACCTTATAACTACAATTTATTTAATATGTTTTAAATAATAAATACAAGAATCCTGCAACGAATTTTTCAGGTCAGAAAATAGCATCAAAAAGAAATAATTTTTCAATCGCGATCTTCGTATTTGTCGGTTCATGGAAATAGCGACGATAAACATATAATAATTAGTTTATAGTTTTTATTATAGTTATAATAATAATAATTATAAATATATAATTATTATTATATATATATATTATTATTATATTTTTATTGTATTATATTGTATATATAATTATATTATATAAAAGAACATATGTATATATACATAAATATATATATATATACACAAACATATATATACACATATATATATACATGTATATATACCTATACACATATATATACATATATATATACATATACAAATATATACATATACATATTTAAATACACATATACACACACTAATAAATAGCGACGATAAACATATAATAATTAGTTTATAGTTTTTATTATAGATATAATAATAATTATAAATATATAATTATTATTGTATACATATATTATTATTATATTTTTATTGTATTATATTGTATATATAATTATATTATATAAAAGAACATCTGTATATATACATAAATATGTATATACACACACATATATATACACATATATATATATACATGTACATATACCTATATACATATATATACATATACATATATATACATATACATGTACATATATACATATACATATTTAAATACACATATACACACACATATATATACATATATAATATATATACATATATAATATATATATAATATATATACATATATATAATATATATATAATATATATACACATATATATCTATATACACACAAATATATAGATATACACACACATATATATATATACATATAAATATATATAATATACATATACATATATATATATACATATATATACATATACATATATATAACATGTTGGTGATGATCAAAAGATATTCAATCCACGTATGCTTCAATATATATAAAATAAGTAAGCAGAACAGAAATAACATTCTTCACAAGGTGACTACTTTGAAGCATATACTATGAAGCATATATTTTATTTAAAAAAAAAAAAAAAAAACCAAATTTTCGGGAGCGCCTGCTCCCCTCTTCAGGGTTACAATTGAAATGACTCAAAACAGCACTTAAAGACTAATTAAACAGCATAGGCTTAAATGTATATGACTTTCTAGCTGACTTCACCTTTCACCTCTAAACTGTTTATTCTGGCCCATATTCTCCCACCACTGCTATCTCTCTATTTGTCACTGATCTGTAATAGTTTATATTGATTGTTATTTGCCAT